GGTACTGCGTGTAGGTACTGCGTGTAGGTACTGCGTGTAGGTACTGCGTGTAGGTACTGTGTGTAGGTACTGCGTGTAGGTACTGCGTGTCACAAAGAAACTAAAATCTTGGTGAAGTTTTCAGTTTTGTTGTTGTTTATGAAACATTCCTCGTTCTGATCAAACTACAATTGTTCAAGAAAGTTCAACACAATGTGATTGACTCTTTTATTAACACTGCCGTACACAAGTTTTAATCAGAATCTAATAACACAGAATTAAAAAAACTTTTTGTATCTTTTTTCCTCTACAACATAGTTTTTGACTAAAATGGAGAACTTGCAAAGGGCCCAGCTGTGGCTCATGAAGCAGCTTTTAAATTGTCTTTTCTATAATTAAATGACTTAAAAACGTGTGTGTGTGTGTGTGTGTGTGTGTGTGTGTGTGCAGGTTTATTCATCAGTTTGTGAAACCAGCTCTTGAACTGGTTCAGAAGTGAAACCTGATTAACCAATCAGGGCCCTTGTGTCAGTCACATGGTGTGATGGTTTGGTAAAAGCAGRCTTGGCCACACGCAGCAGATGACAGATAAAACAACTCAACATCAAATTAGTTCAAATTCATTCAACTTTTGTTGATGTCTAAGCAAACGGCAGAGGTTTTTTCATGTAAATACATATTAAAAATAACATTTGGAAGCTACCAGTAAAAACAACAGTTTAACACAGTGGTTCTCAAACTTCACATGTTGCACCCCTCCTCTGCCTGGTGACACACCCCCAACTTATAAGATCTAATTCATCTAATAAGAATCCATTTCAAACACATATTTGAACAATTATTTCAAAAATATTCATCACAGTCAATCATGGGACTGTTTTTGTGACATTTGGAATTTGCTATTTATTTTTTCCCCACAAAAAAAGGTACAACAAAAACAAAAGCTCCAAAAAAATAAAACAACAAAAACAAAAGCTCCAAAAAAATAAAACAACAAAAACAAAAGCCACAACAAAAATAAAAAACTACAACAAAAAAAAAATCACTGCAACAACTTTGTAGAACTAAATGAGACCGCCCATTTTCTGATTTTATTTCTGAATAATTAGAGGTGGGTGGAGCTTTTTAAACCATACTAGATTTCTTCCTATGCACAGAAACCCCACAGATATTAGTTTATTTTATCACAGTGGTTAAAGCAGCAATTAGGTAATTTTTGTGTAAATTCACAGTATAAAAATAGTTTAATTTGTTCCAAAATAAGATGTTTGAGTTGATACATGAAGGCTGATGTCATTATCTGTGTTCAGTTTACTGTTTTCATTGATGCAGTTTGTGTCATTTTTCCTCTTTAGGGTAATCATGCTTTCTTTAAAAAATAAGTGGCTTACACAACCAGAGTATAATGTTCCAACAAGTATTATTGATTTATTGATTTATAGTCAGCTATGTTTTCAGACACTAAAACAGGTCATTTTTTCCAGTCTTTTARGATCAAGTTATCTTCCAGCTTTGATTTGATAAATTTGATAAAAACGTGGAACAAATAACACACACATTATAAACTCTTCCTTTTCCCTGTAATTTAGGTCACCTGCTGACTAACCAGTAACTTCCTGTCCACCCTACCTGGGACGCAGCCTGTCTCTCATGGTTTGTTTCAAAAACCAGTTTAAATGACAATAATGCCTAAACACTCATGCTACTTGCTAATTTAAYGCCCAAAGATCTAAATATAATAAAAAAATAAAACATCGTCCCCCTCTTTCCCTCAGAAATGCCCTGCCCCCACAGTTTGAGAACCACTGCTTTAATGGTTAAAGAAACCGTGAATTATAGTGTGAGAAGAAACAGACCCAAAACAACATCAGAACATGCAAAAGAACAAAGTTGGCATTAATATACATTTAGATATATACACTTTAATTCATGTCAGGAGGCTGATGCTCCACTAACTCTTTCCATGGACAAACTGGTTTAACTGGTTCTTTTACCTGTCAAATCTTCAAATAAGGGTTTTATTTCTCATTACTGAACCCAAACCCATCTGCCTGTTATGTCCCATTTTAAAAAGTGATCCACATAATTAAAACTTGGGCTTAAAAGACGACAGAAAATGACCTAATTCTTTTTAAGATAAAGGATAATTGGCTTCCAATTCATTCTCGTTGAAAGCAAGGCAGTAGTCAAAAAGAAGGCGACTGGTGAAGGAACCATACAGAGGTTAGTTTAGGTGAGATCCTAAAGCATTCTGATGTCTGATGAGGTATTAGTCTTTTCTCAGAGATGGTTTTGGATTCATGAACTCCAGCATCAGTGAGCCCTGTGAATGAATTGAAATGTGCGGTTCAGTTGTTTTAAAAACAATCTCTGAGGATAATGTGGTAAACTTTGGTGAATTTTCCTTGGTTTTACTTCATCTTGTTGTCGGAGCACCTCCTGTTGCTTCATCCTCAGTAATGAGATGAAAAAGGGCAGCGAACCCATGAGGTCCATGCTTCAGGTTGTGTCACCAGGTGTTTGGATCATGTGACCAGTTCCATGTTTAAAGGGGTCACTGAAGCACGGCTGTGCTGCTGCTGCTGCTGCCCTCTACATGTTGTCTTTAGTTTTATAACATGGGTGAAGACAGGTCCCACTGTGACGGCCATATTCAAGCCCAGCACCAGGAACTAGTTCTGACCTGAGACCTGGAACCAGAATGAAGAGTTTGGCAATAGGACAACACAAGCCTTACCCTGGCTCTGTGGAGGCCTGTTGTATGTGGGGGGGTTAAGGGTTTACAGTACAGGATGTATGACAGCCACACACATGGACTGTCATGAGTCAGGAGGGGTCCTGTGAGTCCTGGTCTCACTAAAGCCTGAGGTAAGCTACTGTCCTGGAACATACGGCCAGCTGATGGAGCTCCCAGAGAGCTGCATGTCACGAATCAACGTCTCAATAGGGGTCTTTCCCACTAAGCGCATGAAGAAGAGCTGGGAGATGAGGTTGGCAGGGACTGCACGCAGGGCGGGCAGGCGCAGGAGCAGGCGGCCGAAGCGCTGAGGCTGACTGGGGTACTGCATCCTCTCATACTCCGTCAGGGCCACCTGAGCCTTCTCCTGCAGGGACTCCACGTGGACTGGGTCTGTCAGACCGCAGGCATCTGTGAGAGGCAGGGAGAGACGGTTACTCAGTGTCGACAGTTACTCAGTGTCAACAGTTACTCAGTGTCGACAGTTACTCAGTGTCAACAGTCAGTGTCAACAGTCAGTGTCGACAGTTACTCAGTGTCAACAGTCAGTGTCAACAGTTATTCAGTGTCGACAGTTACTCAGTGTCAACAGTTACTCAGTGTCGACAGTTACTCAGTGTCAACAGTCAGTGTCAACAGTCAGTGTCGACAGTTACTCAGTGTCAACAGTCAGTGTCAACAGTTATTCAGTGTCGACAGTTACTCAGTGTCAACAGTTACTCAGTGTGACAGTTACTCAGTGTCGACAGTCACTCAGTGTCAACAGTTATTCAGTGTCAACAGTTACTCTGTGTGGACAGTTACTCAGTGTCAACAGTTACTCAGTGTCAACAGTTACTCAGTGTGGACAGTTACTCAGTGTGGACAGTTACTCAGTGTGGACAGTCAGTGTCAACAGTTACTCAGTGTCAACAGTCAGTGTCAACAGTTACTCAGTGTCAACAGTCAGTGTCAACAGTTACTCAGTGACAACAGTTACTCAGTGTCGACAGTTATTCAGTGTCGACAGTTAGTTACTCAGTGTCAACAGTTACTCAGTGTGGACAGTTACTCAGTGACAACAGTTACTCAGTGTCGACAGTTACTCAGTGACAACAGTTACTCAGTGTCGACAGTTATTCAGTGTCGACAGTTAGTTACTCAGTGTCAACAGTTACTCAGTGTGGACAGTTACTCTGTGCGGACAGTTACTGTGTGGACAGTTACTCAGTGTCAAAAGTCAGTGTCAACAGTTACTCAGTGTCAATAGTCAGTGTCAACAGTTATTCAGTGTCGACAGTTACTCAGTGTTGACAGTTACTCAGTGTGACAGTTATTCAGTGTGGACAGTTACTCAGTGTCTACAGTTGCTCAGTGTGGACAGTTACTCAGTGTGACAGTTACTCAGTGTGGACAGTTACTCAGTGTGGACAGTTACTCAGTGTGACAGTTACTTAGTGTCGACAGTTACTCAGTGTGACAGTTACTCAGTGTGACAGTTACTCAGTGTGACAGTTACTCAGTGTGGACAGTTACTCAGTGTCAACAGTTACTCAGTGTGACAGTTACTCAGTGTCGACAGTTACTCAGTGTGGACAGTTACTCAGTGTGACAGTTACTTAGTGTCGACAGTTACTCAGTGTGGACAGTTACTCAGTGTGACAGTTACTCAGTGTGACAGTTACTCAGTGTGGACAGTTATTCAGTGTGACAGTTACTCAGTGTCGACAGTTACTCAGTGTCAACAGTTATTCAGTGTCGGCAGTTACTCAGTGTGACAGTTACTCAGTGTCGACAGTGACTCAGTGTGACAGTTACTCAGTGTCGACAGTGACTCAGTGTGGACAGTTACTCAGTGTAGACAGTTACGCAGTGTCCACAGTTACTCAGTGTCGACAGTTACTCAGTGTGGGCTGTTACTCAGTGTCAATAATTGCTCAGTGTGGACAGTTACTCAGTGTGGGCTGTTACTCAATGTCAACAGTTACTCAGTGTGGACAGTTACTCAGTGTGACAGTTACTTAGTGTCCACAGTTACTCAGTGTGGACAGTTACTCAGTGTGACAGTTACTCAGTGTGGACAGTTACTCAGTGTGACAGTTACTCAGTGTGACAGTTACTCAGTGTCGACAGT